ACCATTCAGCACAAGAGGGCTTGGAATACATGGTAAAAAACATACTGTAAAGGCTACAATAATTGTCTTTAGTACACACAAAAGATTTATTCTCCAATCAGAGCACAACCAGTTTGTTCAATTTCATGACGAAAATGGTTAATGTTTTTGTTTTTTGTTTTTTACTTTTTCACCCTTCAGGCCACTTGGAACATGGCTATGTTACAAACGGAAGACATTTTGAAAGCTGTACAGTCGACAATGAACAAAGAGGAACCCGTGTTCTCAAAGCTATAAGCTAATCTCAGTCGTAGTTGTAAAACATTGCATTGACATTTTGATCTTACAAAAACTCTCCAATAATTGTTTGCATATGATTATCAGTATTCTTTAAACGATTCGCTTGAAGAGCTGAACATGTGTACCATCCAGTAACCCTATGAGATACCGTGACCGCGTAGCTTGCGGCATTTCTCGGTCCCACGATTCGATTTAAGAGCTGAACATGTGTGCCATTCAGTAACCCTAGAGATACCGAGACCGCGTAGCTCACAGCATTTCTCGGTCCCACTTGCGCTTGTCACTCGGTCCTTGTGCCCTACGGGGATTTTTGCGGGACTCCTCCCATGTCTTTTGATGGTCTGCTGCAGCGCGAAAAAGATAGGGCCATAGAAGCACGAACGAGTCAGGGATTTTGCGGTTTGTTCATGAGAGCGAGCGCGTAGCCATGCGTCTCACGATATAAGCCTTTCTTAATAATCGAGTTCAGGATCCGCAATGTGATTTATCCACATAGTTTTCATGGTGTGCATCGAGACGACAAACTGAGATATTTAGTGTCTTATCTTTGTGTGTTTGTCGGGTCCGGGAGAGGAATTAAAGTTTTCTTGAGTTTCTTGGATATAATATTTCAAATTAATATTTCAAATTGTAATTCTCTCTTCCCTTCCCCCCTTGCTATGTTCTTTATTGCCACTTGCGTCGTGCGGGATATGATCATTAAACCAGTCATGTTTAGAGACCTTACACTTAAATCCGAAGTTGACATGAATACGTGAATTTACGGTTAACGAGGCCCCTGATTTTTTTAGTTTGATTAATTTGGTCGCTTGTGTGTATGACGCAGTTTGGACTCAAGCCTCTTTATCGGCAAAGTTTTTTACGAAACGATTCGAATGCGCAACGGCTTTGAATGACAAGGGTAGAATTGGAGGAAATCAGGAGCACTTTTTAACACAATTTCAAGAACACTGATCAACAAGAGGGTTTGGAAACAAGTATCAGGTTTAAGTAAAGCGGGCTGTGCAGGAGAGTACAGCTTGCTGAGCTGGCCAATCATAGCGTGCATATTTACTGAGAGATATAGGGAATATTTTACTTTTTAGGTTTCGTTTTAGGTGCTCTTAATCGTCGGTTTAGTGAGAAAACTCGGTTAGCCCGGGTGCAATTCCTCGTCGTTAGCCCATCTTCGTGGGCCGAAAAGTATGAGGCCTTGAACAACACGAGCTGTCGAAATGTCAAGAGGCCTGGGACAGACATTGAGCCATAGTCAGTGTCAGACCCCTAGAAAACCTCTCCCTAACTTGTCTCAAATCTTCTAGCGGGCGGGGAAACGCGCGTCCTGCAGCGCAAAATATTGAGGGCATGCTCGCAGGCTAGAAATTTTGGGGCACTAGCCGGTCGAGGTTATGCTCATTGTTTACCGCGTGACCTTCTCTTTCCAGTTTGATATATCTCCATTTCATAAATGGCTTAAATGGCTGTTGAAAGAAGGGGCCTCTATCCTCAATTGACCCATATAATTAAAGGCTCCCTAATATGCCAAAACTTACACTGGTAGAAGTTCAGTGAGCTTTTCCTCTTACAAGTAACGTTCTAAGTATGAGGTCACACGAAAAGAACATACCACGTTCAAGAAATAAATAGATTTATTACTATTAACTTAATAAATGTTAACTTTCGAGTTCCCATATGCTACTCACTCCTAGCTAAGCAACTCGTGCCGCTTTGAACCGACTAGACAAAAGAACACAGTTGTGTGTCAGATCAGTGTAAAAATACATGCAAGGTTTAAGAGTTGCTAAGATAAAAGTTTGATGAAAACTTAAATACTAAACTCTATAAAACTGTTGAAGTAAGCTTCCACAGCTCCTACATTGCCTGTACCATATGGCCCAGGAACACTTGAAAAAACCGTCGTTACAAAACCCTCGTAAAAAAGACCCGAAATTCTGTATGGGATTTTCGCAAGACGTCGCGATTTGCTTCTAATAATGAGCCTCTTTTACAGTGTTGTACATGTTCCGATATATCTCTTTTAATGATTCTTCAAATAAGGCCCGGTGTGACCGCCCAGTGAACTGAGACTTGAGATTAGACCAGAACGAGTCACTTGATAGAGGCACAGTCACACTGAAACAGACAGATGAAAATTGTTGAGTAAGGAAATGTTTCAGATATCCCCTACAGGAGAGGTCTGTGAACGCATCAAAGTTTTCTGTTAGAGAACCAGTCATGTTTATTGCCTGAGGGGAAAGGTGGGTGGGGGGGAATCGGAGGATTTGGTTGTCTCACTGTATAATTGACCTGATCCCCCTGA